AAGAATGAACGACCCGATCAAGCGAGGAAGAGGATGCAAACTCGTGTGTTGCTTGCATGTGTAGTGAGCTGCTGGCTTCTGTAGGTTGGACATACCCTGGCATACTGGTGCTGTTCCTTGGGCCTTCCAAGCAGCGGGTAGAAAGGGCAAGTTGGCCATGAGACGGCGCTGGTCTGAGAAACGCGCGCACTGCCACGTGCGCGATGCAATTCGCTAAAGCAGTATACGATGACGAATAAACGTAGCATAACTACGGCGTACGGCGCGCATGTAACGGGGCAAATCAACTTGGATTAGCGAATTTGCGTCTCCAGCGCGATCCGGTCTTTCATTTGAGAAATGGACGTCGTCGTCGTGATCCTCTTGACGCTCTGCAGCGCCGTCACCGGAGACGACAAGGCTACACCGCCCCCGGTACCGACGGCCCCGAACGGCCTCCCTCTGTGCGCAATGATGGAAGGCATCGACGGCTACTTCACGCCGCTGTACGACCAGCCAGCGTTTGCGCGTTGCATGCGCGAGGCCGACATGGCCGACGTCGACTTTCTCGCGTCCAGCGAGCCGCCGTCCGAGGCGCAGCTCGAGCTTTTTTTTCATAGCAGCTCGTGCCGAACTCTGTACTCAGCACTGCTCCGCGTGCTCACCGAGGAGATGCCTCTGTGCGCCATAGACCGCACCGGCACGTCCATCAAGACGCTCGGCGATAAGACATTTGACGAGCTTCAACATGCGCTGCTGACGAGCCAAGCTGAGCATGGCTGGATGACGTCGTTCAACCTATAGTCGAAGTGTTTGTGAAGCAAGAGTAATTATTCGAGTCGTTGTTTGAGCCCAGGATATGGTTTGCCTGCCTTGTCGAAATTATGACGAGCGTCTACCGGTAGTCTTTTCGTGCCTGGATGCACTCACAGTAGTAGTATTACCGTGCGATGCGCTCGAAGGAGCTGCTCGTGAGGAGTGTGGCCGAACACTCGTTGGAGTTTGAACTCTTCCAGCATCGCCGTCGTCGTTGATATGGAGTTGCTGACTCTACACAGATTCGAAGTAGTACTATCTAGCAACATCATGACACTCAACCGGCATGCAGCGAGACCGGCGACGGTGTGCCGGCTCAGATTTCTCGATTCCCATTGGTGTAAATATCATAGTATTATGGCCAATCAACGACGGTAAACTTCAACCGGGTATAACACCTCTTATCGGCTGCTGTCGATGACATGAAGACACTTTTCATAGCCTAAAACGTGTACTTTATCAATGTGCCAAGTAGGAGCGATTTCATTTCCAAACGTGATTTTGCGATTCGAGCGCCTCGGCGGCCGCCGCTGCATTTTGGATCGCATTCCAATTGGTCAAAAAGAGCAATTTTTAGCAAATCGACCGTGTTGGTGGATTCTGCGCCGGACTGCACTGGGAATCCCGTTGCGGCGAAAACACCCCCATGAGCACATTGTGTACATATTTATCGTCGCCAATTTGACGACATATGCATTTATACGTGCAAGACTATCGACTTGATTTTATGTGAAAAGGCTGGTTGGGTTTGGATAGGAGGAGGCGCGGGCGGTGATTGGCCATAATACAAACTGGCTCGACGCCATCATTTTTACGAACGAGCCAGCAGCAAAATGGGCATGCGGAGGCTGATCGTGGGCCTCGTCGTCGTTCTCGCGCTTGCTCTCGCCGCCGACTTGCCGAGCTGCCAGAGCGACCAGTTCTATGGCAACTACTTTGCGTCGATCCAGTCCCACCCGTCGCTGCTGCCGTGCATGCGCGCCGCCAACATGACCGACCGCGTCTTCCTCCAGATGACGCTCTTGGCACCGACGCACGCCCAAGTCGCCGCTTTCTTTGCGAGCGCCGACTGCGAATCAGTCTTCAACGAGGTCACGCGCGTGTACCGTGAGGTTTTTCCAGCGTCCTGCGCGTTCAACGCCGATGGGTTGGACATCAAGGCGCTGGGCGCGCTGACATTTGAACAGCTCAAGCTCGCGATGCTCAACGCCACGATCGCCGTCTAAAAACGATTCCTCGTTGAACCATAGTGATGCTACCTAATTGTTTGTGTATATACGACTAAACTATCTTGACAGCGTGTAAAATGACGCCTCCCGCGCCCCTTATATATATGAACGTGTTTCGCGTTATCTTCATAGTTACACAAAGACTTCGCATACGTAGAGACTAGCAATCTCCTTCTTCTTCATTCGCTCGCCGGTCCGTGGCTGCGCAGGCGGCGGCGCGGGGGCTCTTCTGTCGTCGCCCTACGACGCTTGTGGCCGCGGGTGAGGCCCGTGACGACACGGTCGGTCAAATCTTTCCAGGCGTCGCGGTCGGCGGCATAGCTACGCAGTTTGTCAAGGTCCTCGGAAGACGCCAGCGACTGAGGTGGCGTCAGCGACTGGAGGTCGCGGTGCAGGACGATCGGCAGCGTGATTTTGGTGCGTCCTAAGAAACGGGGCGCCTCGGATGGAGCAAAGAAGCGGTCCGCGCCCCTTGTTCATCAATATCTTTTGCTCCAAGCTTGGCCAAAGCCATTTGATTCCTCGGTTTCAGCATCGGCCCGTGGCCATGCGTTATTAGCGTGTATGGTTCCTGCCCGAGGTACTGCTGAGGTACACTGCTGCTGTTACCACGGAGCTTGAATTCTCTGGGTTGGGCCTAGACATACTAGTTTAGGGAATTCCGGCTTATCTGTCCGACCCAGGCTGGCCTCTATTTTTTTACATTGACTGCCATTTTGTATGTAATATATATCCTTTTTCCAATATTTTGGCTCGTGCAATCTTGCCGTGCCAGCGACAAAGACCGAGAGACCAGCTCGACGATCGAACGACATGGTTCGGGTGCTGCTGCTGGCGTGCGTGGCCATCGCAGCCGCCGAGAAGCTCCACAACTGCGACGACCTCAACCTCGACGCCTTCTTTGATGGTATTGACCGCATGGCATCGCTCGCCCCGTGCATGACCGACGCCGGTGTGACCGACTTTGCTTTTCTCGCGTCGTCGGCGCCGCTAAGTGGCGAGCAGTGGGCCGCCTTCTTCGACAGCGCGTCCTGCCGCGCGCTCTACAACAACCTCTCGGCGACCATCTACGACAACCCAAAGATGCCCAAGTGCCAGCTCGACGCCAGTGGCACGACCCGTCGCGACCTCGCCAAGTGGAATTTCGACACGCTGCGCAACTATATGCTCCATGACATCATCCCGCGCTTGCTATCGTCCCCATAACGTTAGTCTTTCTCCTTGCTCTCTTCCTGTCGTGTCCAAGATTTGTAAAAAATCCTAGTAGCAAACACTGCTTTCGTAGCCTAGTCACTCCACGTACGATGATGCAGGCTACGGGCGTAGAGCTTAAACGGTTGCTCAATTAGTAGCTCTGTCCCCCAATGCCCCGCGGCAGCAACCACCAGGTCCAGTCTGAGAGAGCGCGGGAAGGCGGTGTGACGTGAAACTGGATTCTGCCTTAACTAGCCGAATTGTGTCTGATAATTGTCCTATTTAGGCTACGAGCCGGTTTCAATCAGGATGTTGCCATTCCGCAACTCATGACCAGGTCGCGTAGCATGATCCAACGCCTCGTGGTCCCGCTGCTTCTGCTCGCCCTCGCTGTCGTCGCCGCATCAGGCGAGAAGGTCCATCGCTGCGAAGACGTCGACTGGCACGAGCTCCAGAACAGCCTCGTCGCGCTCACAAAGGACCCGTCGGTCGCTGCTTGCATGGCCGACGCGCCGCTGCGAGGGATCGCCAAGCTCAACGCGCCGACGCTCACGGCCTTGTTGAACAGCCCTGCGTGCGAGACGCTGTACGCCAAGCTCGCTGTGGTGTACAACAGCGACAAGCTGCCAGTATGCATGCTTGACAAGGCCGATACGCGCTACAAGAACCTTGGCAGCTGGTCCTTTGCGCAGTTCAAGGAGCTCTACGGCGCCCTCGTCGAGCGGCTTCCCGCCAAGTAGCAACGTCTATGTGTAATTCACTTTTGTATCCCTCAATTCGCACGTGCCCTGGACCAGGAAGCACGTCATTGCGTCGTCGAGCCAACCCCGAGGCAACCTGTTTGATGCCTATGGCATGCCAGCCCGCAGGCTGCGTAGGATGTAGGACTAGGGAATACATATTCCGCAGGTGTACGACGTGGTGCAGTAGACAGCGTAGAGACGGCTCCATATGCAGGAGAGCAAGGACGCGAGATCGTCGCTCTGCCCGAACGACATGGCGTTTCTCCGAGTTGCGCACACAAGATACGGCAATTGGAACGACAATCGTTGGGCTTGAAGCAAGCGTGCACCAAAGCAGTGCTATCGCCATCGACAATGCAAATTACTTAGCAAAATTGAGCAGCGACGACGACGACAAGCGCGGCAGCCGCCGAGAGCGTCGCGGCCGAGGACGGCGCGGTCGTCGGCGCGGCAGTCGCTGGCGCCGGCGCGGTCGTTGGCGACACCTTGGTCGTGGCCGCGGGCGTCGTCGAGGCCGGCGACTCGGTGTTGTTGGTGTTGCTAAACTGCAGGAACTGCGCGAGCGTCATCTTGGCGGTTGCGGGCGCCGAGATCGTGCCAAACGCGCAGTCGCCCGCCGCCTTGAGGAGCGTCGTGAACTCCGAGAACCAGCCTTGGCAGTTGGCGTTGGCAACGACCGCCTTGGCGAGGCTCGATGGAATCTTGGAGTCGAAGAGGTTAGTGATCGACTCGGGCGTGCCCAGCGACTTGAGCTCGGCCTTGGCGCAGAGCGTCGCGTTCTCCGAGGTGGTCGAGTTGGTGATGGCGGCCTCGGACGCGGGCGAGCAGGCCGGGAGCGTCTCGGCGACGGCGAGCGCGAGCGTGGCTACGGCAGCGGTCGCGGTCAGGAGCTTCATCTCGGGAAATGGCTCGCTCCGGAATTGTTGACGAAATCGTATGAAATATATTTGGCGCCTTTTCGACCAATCAAACGGCGTGAATGTTTTCACGCATAGGATTTGTATGGTCGCCCGCGCCTCGAATTCAACATTTCAGCCAATCAAGCGACGCCAAAATGAATGATTCGACCAATGGGAGCGGCCTTGATATATCGTGGCGCGCTGCCGTCAAGATCGAAGCTTTGGCACCAGTTTGGCACCAAGGCTTCGAATCCCTCGTCTTCGATGGACGAACATCGTCCATATTCGACAATGTTTACTCCAATATGTACTAAAGTAGTGACAAAGGAAACACGATTATCGACTAAATGACTATGTAGGCTTTGTTGGGATTCCAGCTCTAGCTTGGATCGGGATGTCCAAATCGATGTATCGCACACATTGGGAGCATCGTCATGAACTTGGAGACAGACATTCCAACGCGATGAGCTTGCCAAGCGATGGGACGCTGGACGGAATCTGAGTCCCATCTTCTTCAACTCTCTTCTTCAAGTGACATGTTCTCCGAAACATCGATGTCGACAAAGTCCTGCAATGTAAAATATATTTATCGAGTCTAGAGATACCAACACTGCCCCCTTGCAATTGGTCAAGGCTGCATGGCCATCTTTTTGGCGGCAACCATTCCACCGTCGGCGGTCGCGTGACGCGGCCGTCTCGTGTCACTGAACCGTATGCGACACGCAGGTGGGCAGAAAGGCAACGATGCATTCGCACCTCGCGACTGCACCTGCTTCTCAGAGTCATTTTCCAACCTGCTTCGTTCAACACCTACTAGTACAATGCGCTCCACCTTGCTGCTTGCTGGCGCCTCGGCCGCCTTGGCCCTCGACGCCTGCAACGTTGCCATGATGGAAGACGTCTACGCGGTCATCCAAGGCCCGCTCGGCGCATCCTGTGCCTCGGCGGTCGGCCTCGACACGAGCAATGCACAAAAGATGCCCATGGACTATGTATTTACACATATTACGTCCCCGACGCTACTCGACGCCTTGGGCAAGTCGGCCGCGTGTACGAGTTGGTGGTCGGCGGTCACCAAGTCGATGGCAACGGTGCCCAACTGCACGCTGGGCCCTGTCTCGCTCCAGCAAGTCCAGGCCATGACGATTGCGCAGTACTTTGCCGCCAACAACGACTACATCAACCATGTGGAAACCAACATTGCCAACAACACGACGGATGCACCGATCCCGGTCTTGACGACGGTGCTGCCGACGACGACGACACCGGCCGCGACGACCACGAAGGCGCCGGTCAACCCGACGGGCGGTGCGTCCGCAGCGACGATTTCGCTCGCAATTGCCTCGGTCGTCCTCGCCACCGCCATGCTCTAATATCTAAATATCATCCATGTATATTGTACATGGTCCTCGCGTCGGTGGACCGGAAATGGGGCAAGACCGAGTGGGCCGCGTTGCAGCGACAACAGACCCAGTGAGGCGAAGGCTTCTGGCGAAAGCAGACTAACACGAGCTCCATACTGGCTGGGAGCTGAATCAGACGGAATAGTAATGATCCTAGGCTTGGTCTGGGTTTGTTGATCTGGTCGGGCGGATGTCGGTCGGTCGCCGAGTTGTGGGCCGAGTAGCCAAACGTCTCTTCTTGCACCGGTCGCAGCAAGAGCAGCGCCCAGTGCAAGGAGCAAATCCTCTCGCACCTACTTCAAAGTGCGACGCCTTGCATATCCTAGGTCGGTGCCAGAATCAGAAACATGTTTCCTTGGCCAACTGCAATTACGTGACGTGGCAACGTGCCACGCACGCGAGTGGCGGTGGCGTGACGTTTAAATATTATTTTCTAGAGTTTTGGAAACCACACCTGTATCAATGGATATCCACATGTCACAGAAAGCTTTCTGCCATCCAGGTGGCCATGACGATGGCAGTCTCACTTTCGCCAGCATGCAGAGCCTGGTCCTCTACCTCCTTCTTGCCTTGACGGCGACGGCGTCGGCCGTGCTCTCGCCATGCAACTTCAACGACCTCGACGCGACCTATAAGATCATCCAAGGCCCCCAGGCGGTCGCATGTGCATCGGCCGTCGGGCTCGTCCAGGTCGACGCCAACAAGGCGCCGCTCGACACGATCTTTACCAAGATTGCGTCGCCGGCGATGCTGTCGTCGCTGTCGCAGGCGCCGGCGTGCACTGATTGGTGGGCGGCCGTGACCACTTCAATGGCGTACGTCGGTTCGTGCTCGTTGGGCGGCGTGAGCCTCCGTGCGATCCAGCACATGACGATCGTCGAGTATTTTACCAACAACAACGACGCGATCAACAACCTCCCGCCCAAGGTCACGACGTCCATCTACGACGACGTGCCCGCGCTTGCGACGACACCGGTGGTGACCATGGCTGAGAACCCGACGGTGACGCTTGCGCCGACGACCGTGCCGACGCCGACCACAGCCGCAGCGACGACCAAGACAACGGTGACGACGGCGCCGACGTCGTCGAGCGTTGCGGTCACGAGTACCATGACGAGTCTTGTTGTGCTCTTGCTCGTGGCACTATGAAGCACTTCATCGAAGACAATACATCTATTCCATTAACAATAGAGCAAGTGATATCAAAGTCAAATGATCGCCTTGGTGTTGTGGAAATTTGTACAAAAAGCGCTAGCACGAGGGCTGCAAACCGCGATCCGTAACTTCTAAATGATACGAACCAGA